GTGTGTAAATCTTCTCGGCAATTTGTTCACACAGTGACTCTGAGCTGAGCTGAGCGGTCGGGAAGGATGGGGCTCTCCTCGGGCCTCTTGGCCTCCCTGCTATGCCTGGGTTTCCTGGGCCCGTGCTTGGCCAACAAGCGGACAGAACAGTGTAGCTGCGCGACCGAGCACGGATCCTTCCACAACCACCACGCGGTGCTTCTGGACGGGTCCCGCAACGTCAGCCTGGCCGAGTACCGGGGGACGACCCTGCTGGTGGTGACCGTCGCCACCTTCTGAGGGTTCACCCCGCAGTACATCGGTCTGAATGCACTAAGGAACAAGATGGTCGACGAAAACGGTCACCGTTTTGAAATCCTGGGTTTCCCCACCAACCAGTTCGGGTTAGAAGAGCCAGCAAAGAACCACGAGCTTTTAAATTGTATCAGGTAAGTAAGCGCAAGAACTGTGTGTCTGTGTAAGACTTTTGTTTTATGATATGACTTTCGACTTGTTACTTACTTGTTATACTTATAGCCCTGAATTGTATTATAAAACCCATCTCGTGTCTCATTACAGTTACATTCTATGTGTTTTTACATTTTTTTCTGGCTTAGATATGTAAATTTTGTTCTAGAGGATGATAGAGAGTGGGACTGTGTTGTGTAACATGTACCTAGTGTCACCTCGGCAAGTAAGCTACAAAGTTGTAGCCTGGGTGCCATCCTATTTGTATACTGGAGCTCCCGTACGCCTTGAAAAGTTGTTGGGTCACCATCTTACAAAGCCAAAGCCTTTTAGTTTTATCACGGTATAGCTCTCCCTATATCCTCCTTGATAACATAACTGTGATTTTCTGGGCTCTAGTTTGTCAGGAGACGATGGCCTAAAATCCAGCCGTGTTATAGTCGCTCTGAACTGTTGGAAAGCAGCTGTTAGAATATCTCCAAGCAGATCTTTCGGCAAGCAAGACAGTATTCAAAAGGCAACTTGCAGGTAGAGTACCAGGAGTATCCAATGGGCTACCGAAGTCCTGAACCGGGTAAAATACTGTCTTGTTTACCGTCAGGTCAGGATGCCGTATTGGATCGGGGTGGTATTGGATGCCGAAAAGCTATGGAGACGGTCCCTTGACACCTAGAGAATGTTGAAGATAGGCCTGCCTCCCCAGTAAGCTCGACGGGGGCGAGATCTGGCGATCAGAATCAACAACGGCAAAATCAAACCGTCGGTGCCTGTTACAGAGAGGTGAATGACTCGGCCTGACTCACTCGTTCTTCCTTGTCTCCAAGCAGATGTAGCTCAGTGTTATTTTACGCCTGTTTGATACGTATTTCTAGTTACATGTAGTCCGCACCTGAGACGAAAGCGTAGAACTAACAACGTAGACGTAAAAGCGTCGCAAAACACGCACGCGTTGAACTTGAACACCAAACTGGACCCTACCTAACGACAAGTGGATGTAGATTTAATAGTTCTGACCCTATTTCTGGTTCCTACTTGCCTCCTTTCATTCAGCACTCCTGGAAGTTGTTTAGTGTCAGGGGTACTAGAAGTAAACCTACAGACCTGTGGCCAGTTGTGTGGGAACGAAATGCCCTTGATCCAGATTATCTCCATGTTGCTGTGGCCGTGCACTGCTTGTTCTATACTGCGTACTCTCAGAAAATCGTGCCAAGCGAGAATCCATGGTGGTGACTGGTATGTATGGAAAGTAAGAAGAGTGTAGGTTGCCTTGAAAGGCACAATTGTGCGCAACTTTTGTTCCCCTTCCAGCTGCTTTCTTTTCCTTTGTAAAGCATCCTAAGAATCTGTGCTACGGTTACTGAAAGGGGCCCGGGTCTCCAAAATCGAGGTTAGACGCATTTTTAACCCCATTTCTTAAAATAGAAAGTCATGATACATCTAAAGTTAGCCTGGGCACCATCGTTGTTCGACTGAACAGCCGTACGCAGATGCACGTTGTCGGGTCGTTCCCAACCAGCTCTACTTTAGGATCCTTTGAGGGCTTACGGAAGGAAGACGCAGGGGGCTTGAACTCAGGGTAACCTCTCTGAATGAAATACGACCCCTCTCTCCCTGTGTCCGAACAGTGGGTCAGAAGTGAAGTCCAGATTTGTGGCAGACATCAAGGAGCCACTCTTCTTCTCTTCATTGCTGCTACTGCTACTGCTCTCCGTCTGTCTGATTAACTACGCACGCCACAGTTACACAAACAAGACTCCAAGTTGACCTGATCCTACATGACTCATGCGGTGCCATGTTGTGCTTGTCGCCGTTCCCATGACACCTATGACGAAACTGATCACTCATCACTTCTTGGACATGTTGAAGGAGTTCCTGCCAGCCTCACGGCTTGGATTGATAATCCTAGCAGATGTTTTGCTCCAGCGTGTTTACCACGTGTTTCGCGGCGTTAGGCCCGTCTGACCTTGATGTGGGCATCTTTCTGGTGCTCGAGAGGACCAGGAAAATGACACCTCCAAAGTCACGTACAAAATATCAACCGCACACTTGTGGCACCTGATTGGAGATTAACCACAGATGTAGGATGTAGCCTGGTAACCAAACTATCATGAACCAAGGCATCATGAACTCTCCGGTATCTCTAGACCTCTCTACGGTGCTGGGAGTGCCCGCCCAGACCCATCCGCGGACCCTGCAGGTTTCAATCACTGCAATGTTCAGGAAGGCCCACTAGAAAGATAGGCTGCCAGAAAAAGGCATACTACCCGACCGCAACCTCCCGAGCTAGGCAGGGTCGGCGGCGCAGTAAGGTAGAAAACCGCGCCGCCGACCCTGCCTCGGGAGGATGACCCGACCATAGTCCATCCTCTAATACTCTACCCTACTGATAAAACGCTTCGGTCCCAATTGCGCCGGTGCCCGTCGGGGATGTAGCCCCGGTCAGTCTCGGTCGGGCTCTGGAGCCTGGCGGGCACCGGTTGTTGTGGTCACAATTAAAATTTTCCTTCAGTGGCATTTTGTCACCCTTATTGGTCGGTCTCCGGCAGGCACCCGGCAGGTACCCGGCAGCTTCTCTGACGATGTCTTGTACTGACCCACCTAATACAGAGTTCACGCTTTTGTTGTGTTTCATCTCATCTGTGACGTCACACATTTGAATTGGTCTTACGAAGTAAACACCTGTGTATCTGGTCTGTGATGTGACAAATTAGTCCCGGATGACTGCCAGCAAATGGAGGGGTACCTCTCGGTGTTCTCACAGCTCGGTCACGACGTCTTTTTGTCAGCGGGGCCTCGGGTAGAATTTAATAAGTCAGAATTAAATTCTTGCCGCCGGGCCCAAAAATAACCCGATAGCCGCAGAGTGTCCCGCGGGGTCCCTTAGGGGTCACGCCCGAGAGTGCCAAAAAACAGCCCGGGGACTACCCGGCAGGGCCCCCTTTTCCAATTGGGCCTTCGAATAATGGTTACCAGGCTATCGCAGCTGGCGACGGGCTTGTTCTTGGCAGCACAGCTCGCTTCCGCTCGGTATGCGGCCAGGTTCACCACTTCCCGACGACAGCCGCAGCCCCGCGAAACCTGGCAGACTGACAGTAAATTCGTCTACTAGAAGGTCCTAGAAGAAGTGTGCTGCACATTGGACCCCCTGTTAGTGTTGGCAACAGTTGAATTCATAAAATACAAATGTACGATAAAGATTTACCCTGACCCATGCCACTCTTCATTACTGGAGGAAGCTGACATTGCACGTGGCGTGTTATGGTACCTCTGTAGTTTGATTTCTAAACGCAAAACAGTATTTACTGCTGTTATTGTTGGAATGAGGGCAATTACCATGACCCCGGTTAATGCTTTCGGTGTGTTTGTGTGTTGCATGTGTGCCGTAATTATTTGGATACAGTAAGTCACTGGAAGAGAGTGGGAAATGGTGTAAATACGTACAAACTAACAGGATGATTTCTCGGCTTATTTCAGAAGGACAGACGGAGAGAAACGAAAGTTAGCATACCTATTTACTTATTAGCCTTTTACTTGAAGTTATAAAAGTGCTATGTACTAGTATTCTCACGTCGACATGTTTTCCTTCCCAACAGATACGTGCGCCCTGGGAATGACTATGTTCCCAACTTCACCATGTTCCAGAAGGGAGACTGTAACGGCGAGAACGAGCAGTCGCTCTTCACTTATCTAAAGGTGAGTATTCCCATAGGAGACCATTAGGTTAGGCCAACCACGATGTCTTCAGATGATCTTTCAAAGATCTCCAGGGTCTTCCAAACATCTTTCAATGATCCCACAGCAATGATCCCAATGTCCACTGACTTTTAGAGACTGTAACAGCGACAACTCTTTGCTTTATCTGAAGACGAGGACCCTCAGGGGAGGCCATTAGGTTGGACGTTAACTGATGTTGTGGCTCCCCTCTCTCTGCAGTTCTAAACTGTTAAAGTTGTTTGGGATTCCTCAGAGTCACGGGGAACTGTTGTTTTTCTCCGGGATGTATGTAGTCTAGTAGTAGTCTCCAAGTTAGGTCGGAGTGGTGGGAAGCGTTTCCTTTTGGCAAGTTTTCAGCACTGAACGGCAGTACCGAATGTCTGATTCATTTTATTTGTGAATTTTGGAGATTGAACCTTTGAACCATAACATATTTACGTGCGTGTGATATTCTGCGTGTGATTGCTTGTGTGTTTGCCTTTTTGTTCATTCGTTTGCTTAAGATGGTAATTCTGGTGCGATTATCAATATCTTACTTGCCATCAATGTCAAATTTATTACGTCACCAGAGCTGCTGCCCTCCCATCTCTGACGTCATGGGCATCAGCGGCAACCCAGACAGTCTTTACTGGAAACCGCTCAAGGTGAGCGACGTCCGCTGGAACTTCGAGAAGTTTCTGGTGGATCCGGAAGGAAAGGGGGTCAAGAGGTAAGTTGATGTAGTTTTTTTAACTGAGTAATTCTGGTCTATCTAGTGTATCGTGGACATTTTTATTTGTGAGAGTAACCCGGTCACCAGCCTCTTCAAGGGATTCAGTGAGATTCCTTCGGCTACTGTACGCGTCTGCAGCCGTCTGTGGCCGTCTGTAGTCAGGGCCACGGCAGGGCCACGGAGGCCAGCTCTTCGGACCCAGGTAACATACTCTCTAGCGAATTTTGCCACGCCCCCTAGAAGGGCATGAAGGCAAAAACACCTGTTACCAAGGATATCCTGATCACAGGGTTACTGTAAGAAGAGTGAATGGGGCATGTTTTTACTAAAAAGATCGAAGATCAGCATTAACCATGTATCTACTTGCGCAACAAGGAGCAAACTGTAGTAGGAGGAAAGAGGTGGGAGTGACAGTTTTGTTTTAGAAAGCCAATATGTCCCGAGGCAAACTTGTCAGTCTAACTCATCGGACACTAATTCTAGTCTTTGATCCTTGATTCGACGACCTTTCTCTCTGTTGCAGGTTTTCGTCTTACGTGACGCCGGAGGATCTGGAGTCCGTCATCGATGATTTCATCAGGACCTGGAACGACACGAACGCCAACCACACGTCGGGCGCCCGGAGCTCGCGCGACACGGGGTTCATGTCCTGGCTCAACTAAAACATTCCATCTGCTGGAGTCCGCAGAGACGAGACAAACATTTACCGTCCTGTGGAAGTGGGGCTTTTTAGATAGCATTTATCGTTTAGCAACTCTACTCTTACTGTAATACGCTAGTCTGGGGTCCAGCCTTGGTCAGGTTGTGAGTACTGCAGTTCAAGGTAGCGACAGGTTGCAGCTTACACCAAGACTGGGCTCCAGGCTACATCTGAGGCAGAAAATTGTTTATTACTCATTTTAGTACAATCCATTGGCTTTAAAGTGCGCTGGCACTAATTTCCTTTCGAACTAGACAAAAAAAGAAGAAATCACGGAGATATTCAGTCAGTGCTTCGACATTTAGATACATGTATTATATAGAGAGTATATACTTTGGTCCTTGGGCCCGACAACTCTATGACGAGGGAAATCACAAACCGCGTCGCGGGGGGTTCCCTCAGATTGGGATGAAGTCTTCCTCGGCCTTCGTGCATTCAGCTGAGGGGCGCGACATCCGCCGTTGTTGTGTTCAATAACGTAGAATAAATCTTGGTCAGCACTTTCATAGACAATGTCATTTTTTTTCCTTTGGTCTGAATGTGATTATTTTGTGTTGCATATGTGTATATGGACTGAATCTGGAGGGAGCGAAGGTTCGTGTCCTTTCGGATGGGGATGTTAAGTCGGCGGCCCCGTGTTTGTAAGACGCTGCAGGCGTTAGCCTCTGCACCTAAAAGAACCCAGCACACTTATCGAGAAGAGTAACCCGGTGTGTTTTGCTGAAAGCGCGAGCCGCAGTGAAGACGCTACTACCTACTTAAGAAAGCATCATGCTTCTCCTTAGTCTCAGTTGAAACCTCCTTGGTAGAACTTGAAGATGACAGATTGCCATACCTTACCCTTGTTTCTAATACCTTTACCATAGAAAGTGGAAGGCCAGATGTGCCCTGAAAGAGGTCGCACAATGTTGTTGAAGCCGGTGAGAGCTCACTTGCCAACAGCCAGAACTGATTAGAACGAGGCTTCACAATCACCTTGACATTGGGAGGTCTGAGTTGTTTCTCAGTATCCAGGACACGCCATGGACTGTTCTACCATGTCTACAACTGTTACAACCACCGTTATAATTCCACCCCTCAGGCCTCATCACTAATGTAAACCAGGCCGTGAGTGAAATCAAACAAAACAGTTTTAATAGCCTGATATCCAGAGTTGTTACGCGTTGATACATTTCGCCTGGGTCGGTGAGAAGAGAGCTGAATAAGGCAGATTGGCCCGAATTATCAGAGCGACCTTGATGCGGATGTTATAGATAGTCCTTCATAGAACGGCATCTTGTTTTTTGTCTATATATATCTACGGTACATACCACCAGCAATCAAAGAAGTCCGTTTCTAACCTTCTAATTACCCTGTACACCAACTCAACACACAAATACAGTGAACATCCCTTTTTGGAAGGGTTACCGGATTTGGCCTAAGACACACATGACTCTTTACGCGTGTAAAACATACGGTGCAAAACAAGCGCTCTGTTCAAGTGATCTATCATCTCAGTAGAGGGTCGGCCTCCCTGGTGTCCAAGTTGACCGGTTGTCTACTCCGGAGCAGCCAGCCAGTCCTTCCCATGAGCCACTGCTGGAAGGTTTCTGGACCGTACGCCAGGCAGTTCAGCAGGCCCTGGAGCGGGTTCAGGGCAGCCTGGAGCAGACAAGGATGACCCGTGATCAGTGAATTCGTACACTAAACGAATGAAAAGTCGGGGAAGGTAAACCAGTTTAGCTCGCTGAAGAGCTAATGTTCTACTGATCGTGACATAAGACGGACGGAGCACAGTATGACATTTGGCCGGGGTGCTATCCTAGTTAGTTTTCTTACGATACCTTTTGAACTGAAAACTGATAAAATTGCAATCGTCACTCAGTACCTCGATGATCCACAAGGCGAAGAACCTGTCCCCCATGTGATCATCTTTGATGAGAGAGATTTGAATCACCCCGTCTATAACGTTCGGCAGCCAGCTGGAAATGAAAGAAAGAAGTGACGACGTGGTCAATATTTCTGATATGGCGCAGTAACAGTAATATTTCCGTCCTAGACTGTACAAGGTTAGTATAAGTTCACAAGATTCACACATCTGTTTCCACTTCCTCACCACATTCGGGGCGTGCTCCGTAGAAATCACCAGGAGGTACCAGGTTCTGAGTGTGTCAAGGCCAAAAGAGGACGGATCTGTGCAGCCCTGGACGCCAGACCGGCGGTTTCTAGGGCCAACACTGGGCGGCCAGCTTCTTGGCTGTAGGACCCGGTCGGACGTGCCCCAAAAGGACTTTTGCCCAAGGAGTCTGGTAACGTTATAGACTAGTGCTGGAAGTGACTGACTTACCACAGGGTGAAGATGACTACAATGAGCAGGAACTTGATTTTGATGGCTGAGATGACCTGCCGCTCTCTCTGCGTGTATCTGCCGAGCATCGGCCGTACCGTGATCTCAACTGGTCAGGTTGGAACAACACAGGAGTTACATCACATGTTAGTATAAAGGAGCCAATTTGATTGTAAAATGCACTGTAGACAGGACAGTACATACGAAACTGCTTTGATAAATCCAGGCCTGAATATTTTAAAACCCACCAGCGACTGTAGGACTCTGGAGCGGACGTAAACTAACCAGGGTGTTACCCAGGCTACCAAAGACTGCACAAGAACATACATGTAGTCTCCTCCCACTCTACACAGTCTGTTATAGAGTTGTATCATAGTCCTCAAAATTGTTAATCATACAATTGCTGTGCAATGAAGATGAAAATAAACATAGATGTAAATCTACTAGTGCATTGTTAGTTGTACTTACGTAATCTGGAAGCAGTGATGTATATTGCAGGGTTGGCCAGCATGACGGCGACGATGGGTGTGTAGGAGAAGATGTAATGTAAGACTAGGTGGAACCCTGCCGCACACTGCTGTATGTCCTGCCCTGGCCTGGAACACGCCGCAACATGGAAACTTTATTTCAAGAGAAGAGCTTGTTAAGTATCTTGGTAGTACAGTGATGCTTGAAATTCGTTTTCCCGTTTAGTTGTTTAACATACTGCTTTTAGCCTTTTGGTATGAATAGCTGTTATAAAAATAGTTGCCATTGTTGGTCTTAATGGTCTGGCACATATTTTATTGAACCCAATATTTGCTGACGTCATCATTACGATACCTTCTACAGAATTAGAGGATACACTATTAAGAAAATGTTCTTACGCCTTGGGCACCTCGAAGAAGACACTGAACATGCTCAACCCCACAAACACGGCCGGAGCTGTCCAGCACAGGACATGGTACAGCGATATCGGGCTGCGGACAGTAAGAAAATGTTAAATTTTACTGAACACTTTCCCCATTTACTGATGAGTCGTTTGTCATCAATGTATGCATTCATCGTGCACGTGTACACTTGTTGATTTATGAACAGTACTTTTTCCTGACCATGACCCTGGTGCAACCCTCACATCACCTAACAACATCTTTAGAACATTTAGCAGTTCTACGAAATGCATGTACAGTCGTATTCGTATACTTTGTAAACTTACTGTTTACTAGGACAACTTTACCGGTAGGGACATACGCGAGAATTGGCATTCCGAAGTACACACACTTACACGTCGGTGTTTTTGAGCTGCATGGTGATGTCTATAGCGTACACCAGTGTCCACATGTACGTGGCGCTGTAGAAGTACAGGTTGACGATCTGGGGAAGAAAAGACAGATCATCAAGGGGTGAAAACTCCTAGCAGATTTGAGGATTGAAATCCAAACGTTTTCTTTTCATCCTCACTTCTGTTAGGAGATAAATTATTCAACAGAAGTTAAAACGAAAAAAACACGACGCTTGTTTGTGTATATCTAAAATGCATAGTTAGATCCCATTATACATATGGCTTTCAATTTCAAAAGACACGGCTTGATATGTACCACTCTGGAAAGTCGCTAGGAGCGCCATGTCATCAGACATTTATGTATATCATTGACACATCAATTATATATATCTCATTGATACAACACTGAATCACTGATACCTCGTTAATACATATCATTAATACATCATTACTGTAGCTATGATATTGCACTTACACATCATTGATACATAGCACTGTCCACATATACCTACCTCTATAGTACTGCCCACATATATAGCGGTGATTCCCTGGGTCGGTACGTAGACGCCAGGGCGCACCTCCAGCGGTGGGTCAAACACGAGGATACCCACAGCCCGGGCTATCACACCTGTATTATGTATATGAAAAGCATCCATGTTAAAACTCATCTTTCTATCCGACCAACTGGCAAAATTCAAATGTACTTCAGGTCGGGCTTAGGTCCTTATTATGGGAATCTTAAGTTACTAGTAGGTGCGGTCGAACTTCAGTAATCATTAAACCTGTGTGGGAAGGGTAGTCTCTACATGACTCCATCCAGTGTTGCGATCTTCGTCTAATGGCAAGCGGTACTATATATAGGTTTGTTTGAGGTATATAAGGTTTGTTTGATAGACCGTGTCCTCACCTATGCACGCCATGAAGTCGGACAGGGCGAGGCAGAACACGATGACGGGGTTGGGGGACGGTCTCCGCCGCTGTGCCGCCCGGGAAAGCCGACTCCGCCACCGCACCACCTGGCAGCCGGCCCCACCGAGCCCGAGCACGGCCGCGGCGATGGCCACGCCACAGTACACCGGTCGCTCGGGCAGGGTCAGCTTCGTCTCCGGGATGCAGTAGAACGACTCCTCGTGCAGCGAGGCCATGTTCACCGTGTTCTTGATCAGAATGTTCTTGGCTTCTTATTTCTTCGTGGGTGTTATATTCACTCATGGAATTCTGCCTTAGTTTTCTACGTTGACTGCAGCGGTTCGGCTTTCGTGGCAATGAGGATCAAATTTTCCTATCTACCGTTGAAGACCCACCGGACCGGACATTTTCCCCAAATAGCGACTCGTAATTATCTGGTAGCCGGAGGTTTTGATTGCTTGCAATATTGTCGAGGTTTGCTAGTGAGGTGCCGTGTTATATGTACATAATTTCACTGTTCACACCGTTGTTCAGATAGTTTTGACGGCCTCACCTTGACTCAATATTTACAACAAACTGTAACACAGTATGCACTATAAACAAGCACAAGAACTGTTGAATGCACCATACTAGTTCCAAAACACAGACAGGTGCGCCTTGTCACGTTCCTTGCACAACAGCACTCTAGAGACTCATGTCTCTCATACTGGTCCACAGGAGAACTCTTTGTTGTACTATTTGCAATTACAGACTATGTACAGACATTTAAATGAGACATCAGTGAGTCCTGGCTCAGTGAACTGCTGCTATTGCTGTGCGTGTGAAGAATGACAAACTACTACGTTCAAGACATACACTGTCGCACCTGCAACTCAAAAGTACCTTTCAGTTTCGCGGTGGTGATTCCGGGTCGGTCACGGTTTCTATATCACTTGACGCCGATATGCTTCAAGATCTCTTCAGAAATAGAAACAGCGGTGAAAGAAATTGAATACCGTAAAGTAAAAGCTCAGTGAGTGACAGCAACAAACAGTTAGGACGAGCAGCGTTGATTTATAACATAAACTGGAATAGAGCATCATGTGATGCAGACATCAGCTGACCAGCAGGAGCACATGACTCAAACCCGCAGGCAGAATTGGCCGACTGTGTGTGTGTGTGCTTTTCCACTTCCACGTCTTCAATACTGCTTAGCCCGGCACCGTGTCGCTTTTGTCATGTAGCTCGGCACGGCCGCGGACGGAAGATTTGTCACTGTTAAGGCTGTTTCAACATTGTCACATGGCGTTGTGATATCTGAGCTTCGGTATCCCACTTTACATCAACGTCACTTTATGAATATTCATGAAGATGATATAAGTGGGACACTGGCACAACTAAAAAAAACCTGGCCTGAGCTGAGAATCAGAGCCAATATGACCGCACGCAAACCTCAACAAGAAATCTTGGAAATAACTACGGAAACACAAGGCAATGTATAGCAATCAAACTGAATCAACAAATTGGCAGATGAAAACTGTTTCTGTTGGCCGGTTGGATGCTGTTTTTGTCACCGAAAGATCTGCTTGGAGGTTACTGTTCGCTCACCCCGTTCCGATTTTCAATGGACAGATCGTTCTCAGCAGAGATGCCCATGCATGGTGGCAGCGCATTAGACCGTCCCATTTCCCTACAGGCCGCAAGGAGAATACTTAAGTACATGAAAGCAGGAGACATGAAAACAGGAGACAAACAACAGGAATATATTAGTAACTCGCCCGACAAGTCTACGAGCTCCCTTTCAGGGATCGACCGATGGTCGACGAGTCCCATCCAATGTAACCGTTGATTTTTAAATTCTGGCGATCTACAAATTCAATATATGTGAGACGAAATATGTGACGTGATGTTTAACATGAAATAAAACCATGTATCCCAGTCATCGATTTATGAAACAGTCAATAGCTTATTGGCGTTTACTGCGGTCTAAGTGTGTTTTGTAAACTACTTTTATTAATAACTTGTCATTTACCGGCCCAGGCATCCTGTTTTGTGTCGACATGTCCTGGTTGTCTAGTATTAGCTTGCTGGACCTGTCTTTCCAGTTGATCGCGTCACGATAAGTAGTACCTATAGTCTGTTGCTCGCTGTTTGGGAACATCCTGGGTACCGCACCCACAGGGATGAGGCTTGTGTACGGCCTGGTGGCGACGCTGCTCTGCTGCGGTGCCGTTTTACCGGAGTCTATCTACCCGAAGCAGAGAGTTAAATGTAGCTGTACGGCCGAGCACGGATCCTTCCACGACCACCACGCGGTGCTTCTGGACGGGTCCCGCAACGTCAGCCTGGCCGAGTACCGGGGGACGACCCTGCTGGTGGTGACCGTCGCCACCTTCTGAGGGTTCACCCACCAGTACCCCGCCATGAACGCACTCAGGGACAAGATGGTCGACCAGCTGGGCTTCGATTTCGACATCTTGGCTTTTCCAACCAACCAGTTCGGCCTACAGGAGCCCGGCAGAAACGACGAGATTCTCAACACACTCAAGTAGGTGTACGGAATCGGTAAACAACAACCTGTTACCCTAGTTCCCATTTAGGTCCTATTTCCAGAAGACTACGATCGCTCAGCAACCAAAATTGGATTTGTGTGACGCTTGATCATTTAGTTTATAATTGTAATATGATGCGCGATGCAAAAGTATTATCTAAAAACAGCAAAACACGCCAAACGTAAAATGAATCGTCCCTTTTCTTGTGTAAAGTGGTGTGTTATATAACCTGTTCTATTCATGTTGTGATGCGTCTGTGTTCCATGTAGACATTAGTGCACAGTTTTGAAAGTGTGAATCTTGACCAGTTAATTTTTATGTCTGGTAACCGCAATGACTGTTTACCAAATCAGAGAGGTGGACACCCAACATTTTTACTTCCCGTTGTCTTATGCATATAATTATGTTGATTTGTTGTCTGTTTCCACGGCATTTTCCTTGTCAACAAATTAATGTATGTGAGACCAAGAAGGTTCTAGATTTTAAATCTCCTTAGTGAGAGACAGCAAACTTGAACAGGTTTAGAAGGCACTTTGTGAACGTATTTTCCCACGGGAAGGGCGCTTATTATTCTGTGCCGCACCCCGCAGGTATGTGAGGCCGGGCCGTGGCTACGTGCCAACCTTTCCCCTGTTCCAAAAGGGAGACTGCAACGGAGAGAATGAACAGTCACTCTTCACTTATCTGAAGGTGGGCGACATCTTAAAGAAGTGTTCAACACTTGATAACACACAAACTGTAAAACCTTACAGTGAGTTTGTCTACGCATGGGAAGTGGAAGTGAGAACCTTAAACTCCTAAGCCATCGCCCCTGGCGCTGAATTTAAAGTCCCCAATTATGTTGTTGACCTTGCTCTTAGGTGCAGGCATGCGGGTTGGGCCTAATCTCCCAGCAGATTCGGTGGGGCAAGGGGACTTTGTGTTGGCCGCCTGTATCCATCGTCAGCCCGTGGATACAGGCGGCCAACATGAAGTCCCCTTGCCCCACCGAATCTGCTTGGAGATTAGGTTGGGCCTTTTCTAGCTTATCACGTGCTATTATCTGATAGTACGTATGCCAGTTTTTAATGTACCTGGTTTCTTGTTGTCAACCTCTTGTCCATGCCAAATGTCCATATTATTTATTTACTTTATTGCCTGTGTAGAGCTGTTGTCCCCCCGCCAGCGACATGATAATAAACGACCTCTCCAGTCTGTACTGGAAGCCGCTGCGGGCAGGCGACGTCCGCTGGAACTTCGAGAAGTTTCTGGTGGATCCGGAGGGGAGGGCCGTCATGAGGTGAGAGCAAATCTTGTCCCAGGGAACATGCGGATGCGATGTGAAGCAATTTCTAAACCTTTCAAACTTTATGTAGAAGAAAAATGAAGACTGGAAATTACATGACCTTTTCTCGGACCTTTGACCTAAGTTTCTGTCAGTGTTCCGGACGTTCCTAGCATGTGGAACGGAAATAAATACGGAAACAGTTCCGTGTAAATATGTAAACATTGAATCTAACTCTCCTGAATCTGACTGACTCCCTGACTATACCCATGCAGGTTTACCGCTCCAGTAGAGCCTGCCGAGATGGAACCTGTTATCGAGGAGTTCATCCGTACGTGGACGGCCAAAAAGCAGAGGGAAATTTATAGCGACCTTCTCTCAGAGCTAAACATTAACTATTAAAATTCACGAGATGGACTAAAATCTATCAAACCAAACAACAAAATAACCGACTGAGCAACCAACCAACCAACCTTCCGTCCACTCACACCACTATGGTAGAACAAATGTGGATTGGTTAAGCAGTAAGGCATTTGTTCTTACGATATCGACAAATTCTAATATATTATCACAATATGTGTACTATTATCATGGAACATATACACGTATTTTGCAGTGGCAATACCAATAATGTGTTTCGTGACTTATGGACAATCCCCTTTGAAGTCATAACTAGTGCTAGCCGGTGTAAACTGCCATCATTATTTATTTGCAATATACGTGTACGTGTATCCATAAAAAAGCTATCGACCAAAGATACTGTAGAACTGAACGAAGCAGTTTGTTATTGTATGAATCGGACGATTTTATGACGCGGGAGCCACAAAGCACCGTTCTGTGTCGGGTTCCTGCTGACAGGGATGGACCCTTCCTCGGCCTTCGTGCGTTCAGCCGAGGGGGGCGACATCCGGCGTCGTTTGGGTTCAAACAATAAATCTGTCATGACAAACAGGTTCCGGGCACTGTTGTCTTTACGCCAAGAATGTTTGTGTGTATATCAAAGAGGGATCCGCCAAAGGCGCGATATGTAAGAGGAAAAGTAGAATTTCCTTGTTTGTATGTTGGAAGCATTGGTAATCCTTCATTGCCAACATGGAGGTTCTCAAATATGGTTGTTGAGGAAAGTAGCAGGAAGGTTACCGAAGAACGGCATGTAAAATCCCTTTGTGTAACTGAGACCTCAGTTCATTATAATAAAGTTCACTGAGACTCGCAATCTACGTGTAAAGGGAGCCAACTCGAGGGTAAGATGACGACGAGCTGGTATTTCAGCACCAAGGACAGGGTGGATATTTTCCAAGCATGGGTTGAAGGGACAGCCCGTTACCTTCTACTGGCTGGTAATCGTCGAAGTCACGCGCTTTTATTGGCAGAAGCCGGGATCGGCTCTCAGAAAACGGATACCAATCAGGAGAAGGTAATAATGAATAAGGCAATGGAAGCATAGACTAATTAGCGGGAATCTCTCTCAGGGCTGCAGGCTGGGTTTGATCGGCTTGTACCTCACCTGGCCAACTAAGCACACCCCGGAGGCTTTGCTTGCAAGCGCTTGAAGCCCTTCCTTGGCTGAGACAATTTCCTTGAGAACATGTTGGTCCTGGTGCCGGAAAGCTAGCGGATGTGGACATATTTATACTAACAGTCGGGATTTCAGGTTACGTCCAGCATGAACCTATATAACTTCCTACTCGTAACGCTTTTATGGACTTGCCGGCTGCAAAATATAGTCTTAACAGAGAACCGCGTGTGTGAGACCACCGAGGCTTGTCTGAACTGTGACGGACTCGGCTTATCAAACCGGGACTTCGAGAAGTTAGAAATATTCCAACATAGCTTCTCTCGGACAAAGAAGGATAAAATATCCCTCGTCTTCTTAAAACGGAACCAACTGACTAAGGTACCTTGGTCCGGACTCGTGACAATTCCCAGTCTTAGCATTCTGTACTTGAATCACAACCAAATAGAGTCGTTTTCCCCAGGAACAGCGCTGAGGAAACTAACCAAGCTCACCGCCATTCACTTGTCATTTAACAGGTACGCTACATTTCACAATTATAAAGAAAAATATATTTTCACATTTAGTGTTAACGTCTACGTACACCCTCTTTTACATGTATGTGAAGTCAATCGCCATTTTTGTATCGCAAGTAAGCCAAGTGGTTGCAAGAAGACGTTGTTGGGGGAGTAAGGCCACTTACAGAGGCTAGCCTGGTAACCATCCCTTGTGCAAGTCCAGGCAAGCATTGGACACTCCCTGATAGCCCACTGAAATGCCACCCCTTAAAATTCACCGACGGGCGCTATGAGACCTGGGCGGGCGGGCAATATTGGCCCCAGGCAGCGCACAGTTTCCTTTACAATACTTTTTACACCCAGGATCCAGACGCTCGGGGAAGACGAGCTCCGCATACCGGCACAGAACAGACTACTGCTCCAAGTGTACCTGGATAACAACCCCATACACTGTGACAGTCGGGTGCTTTGGTTGGCAAATATCTCACTCCACGAAAGAAGCTGCAGGTATAATAAACCCCTTTATCATTTTCTATCATGTTACAAGTGTAATCGCCATTCGGCGTAACATAATAGCTTCGCAGGCGCGCAGGGCTACACCAGCTTATAACACCAGCTAGTTATACTGCACTTCAAGTTCTTACAATTCCAAAGTCCCTGCCCATCCCTGACGATGCAGCTGATGAAACTGCACTGATTCATTTCCCTTCAGGTGTTTCAAAGAGTGTAGGAAGGACGTCACGTGTATGCAGGACTGCCGGGTAAACTGCACCGAGAACGCACTAAACGTGCACTTCCACAGCGACTACATCAGCAGCATAACTTGTATCTCCCCAAAACACATGAGAGGAAAACTGATTCACGAGATGCTCACACCCGAAAACATGCTGACGGATGTCGTAACGGCAACAACAATGTTCAACATGGCAAATATCTCAACAGTCAATCAACCGCCCACAAAGAAGCAAAATGCTGAGGGAATTTTACCGAAACACGACCATGATGAGCATGGACGTCGACTGATCGAA